CTGCTGCACTCAGGTCCTCAGTGCTGCCATCTCTGGGATGGGCCCTGTGTGTGTCACAGCACAGCTGACCCGGGCCCTGTTTATAACGCTGCTGATCACCTCCAGCCGCTCTCTACTCACTGTGCCAAGCAGCTTTTTAAACTCAGCAAGCCTGGGAGGGTGTGAGACAAGCTGGTCAGCTCAAGAGTCCCGGCCTCTAAAGCCAGGCAGGGCTATGATAAATTTCCCTCCTGGGCCAGTCACCCCTGGGGCTGCTGGAGGCGGCCTCCCCCCACCCACCCTCGGCCTGCCTCCCTGCAGGAGATCGGCCGCATCTCCATTGAGATGAATGGGACTCTGGAGGACCAACTGAACCACCTAAAGCAGTATGAGCGGAGCATCGTGGACTACAAGCCCAACCTGGACCTGCTGGAGCAGCAGCACCAGCTCATCCAGGAGGCCCTCATCTTCGACAACAAGCACACCAACTACACCATGGAGGTGCAGCCCGCCCCGCTTGCTTCCTGTCTGAAGTGGGCTCCCCACAGAAAACACAGGGCTGTTGTTTTCTTTTTACAGTGCTGGGGATAGAATCCAGGGCATACCCTCAGCCCTTACTACCCTCTCTTTAACCATTTGAAAAGCCAGGTGTGCGGAACGCACCTTTAATCCTAGCACTCCTGCTAAGGCAGGAGTTCCAGACCAGCATGGGCTACATTACATAGTGAGATCCTATCTCAGAACACCAGAAGGGAGAGGGGAGAGGAGAGAGAATAAAAGAAAGAGAATAAAAAGTAAGAAAAGACTGCCAGGCACTGGTGGCTCTCGCCTGTAATCCTAGCTACTCAGGAGGCAGAGATCAGAAATCAGGAGGATCATGGTTCGAAGCCTGCTCAGGCAGATAGTTTGTGAGACCCTATTTTGAAAATGCCCACATCTAGCCCACGAAACAAGGCTTGTGGGGTGGCTCAAGTGGTAGCATGCCTACCTAGCAAGTGCGAGAACCTGAGTTCAAACTTCAGTACTGCAAAAAATAAAAGTAGAGTAGTATTTAGCTATATTAAAAATCATAGTTTGCTGAGTGCCATGGTTTATGCCTGTAATCCTGGCTACTTGGAAGGCTGAGATCAGTTGCATGGGGGCTGCAGGCCAGCTCAGGCAAAAAAAGTTTGGGAGCCTCATCTCAGCAAAAAAGCTGGGCCTGATGGTACACACCTGTCATCATCCCAGTGACTTGGGAAGTGTAAAATAGGATTGTGGTACAGTTTCCTTAGTTCTGTTCTCCCATCACCATGACAATGCCCATTTCAGGACAGGCTTACCCAGGGAGCTGGGAGAGTCACATTTCCCACACCTTGCAGTAAGGGTTAGTGTGCCAGGGCTTTCAGTGGCTTGTCCTGTTTGTAGCTACAAATCAGCCCTGGCAAGCGCATTAGACGATGCCACGGGTGCCACAGGCCAATGTGGGCTCTCTCCCCTCCCAGAGAGCCAGCTGTTGAACAGTGACCAGCAGGTTGTCACATGGATCCTGGCACAAGTATCCTGGGAGTAGATAAGCCATGCTGGGTGGCAGCTGAGGTATCTAGGAGAGTGTGCAGGGCGGGAGAGACACATGGGAACAAGTCCTGCAGGGAGGCCTGAGCCAGCCACACACACACACACCACACACCCCCCACCCCCACCCAGCCAGTGAGGAGGCCAGGATAGCCTTGGCCCAGGGTCACACTCACTCCCCTCTCCAGCACATCCGCGTGGGCTGGGAGCAGCTGCTCACCACCATCGCCCGCACCATCAACGAGGTGGAGAACCAGATCCTCACCCGCGATGCCAAGGGGATCAGCCAGGAGCAGATGCAGGAGTTCCGGGCCTCCTTCAACCACTTCGACAAGGTAAGCCCTTCCTGCACCTCAGCATGTCCTCCCTCCCTGTTGTCGCCGTCCCGTCCTGCCCACTCTCATCTCTACATCTGTTCATTCATTCACATGATGGTATAAGTGACAAGGTGGGGCACATGAGGAGAGTTGGGGCCCAGTGCAGCGTCCTCACCAGGATCCTGAAAGTCCCAGCACATTCTGGATTTGAGACCTGGACTGGGAATCTGGTCCCCACACTTGCAGTGTTCTTAAAATTCAGATCTGGTCTGGTAGCCCCTTCAGAGGGGCTGTAAGCACCTAAGTGTGACCTATCCCCAGCCTACCTTTCTGGGCCAACCTGTCCTCTCCAGGCTTCTGTGGGTACAGCGTGCATCCTACATCCTAGACCAGGAGCACTTTTCCCTCCCTAAGGCCAGGCCCTGGCACCAAGAAGGGGCAAGGGAAGGGGCCCCCCACCTCCTGCCCTGTCCATTCCTAGCCATCACCTCGTCTGTCACCTCTAACTCTGTGTTTCCCTTCCCCATGTGTCTTCCCCTGCCCTCTGCATGTGGCCTGGCCCCTCTCCCATCTCCGTGGCCTGGTCTCCACACCATCCCCGCACACCTGCCTTCGGTGGCTCCGGCAGGACCATGGTGGGGCTCTGGGGCCCGAGGAGTTCAAGGCCTGCCTCATCAGCCTGGGCTACGACGTGGAGAATGACCGGCAGGTACGCACACCCCAGGGCCCCAGTGGACCATGGCATTAACTGCTCTTCTCTTTCTCTCTCCTCTTCTCTCCCTCCCTTTCGCCACTCCATCCCTGCCATGTGTGCCATCTCACCGGCTCTCTTGCCTCCTCCCTACCCTCTGTCTCTCTGGACACCTTCCCTTACCTGGTCGCTCTCGGGACCTCCTGTGTCCCTGCTCCCACCACTGTCCTGTGCCCGCTGTGCACATGGGGCGGCCCCTCTTGCTACTCTGGGCCTGGCCTCCTCTGCTATGCCTGCGTCCTGGGAGCAGAAGCAGACAGGCAGCATGGACTCCGATGACTTCAGGGTTCTGCTTATCTCCACAGGATACAGCCTGGTATGCAGCCTCCACCCACCTCTGCTCCCCTCCTCCTCCTCCTCCTCCTCCTCCTTCTCCTTCCCCTCACCCCACCGTCCCTCACCACCTCCAGAGCTGCCACGGCCTTTGTCTCGCCTCCTCCAGCCTCGCCTCCTCCTCCTGTTGCCTGCGGGCTGGGGTCCCGACCCTCTCTTCTTAGAAAGCTCAGGGGCCAGTCCTCCCTCTCTCTGCCCTTTCTGTCTCTTTCTCTCTTTTTTCCCCACCCTTCAGAGCTAACTCGAGCCTGGGGCTGGGGGAAGTGAACTCCAAATCCCCACTTCCTGACCATGGTGGGAGGGTGCAGCTCCAAAGCCATGGGTGCTGCCTGGGCCCAGACCATTGGCAGCAGGCTGACGATGAGGCCCTGTTCTCCTGACATATGTTCTCCTGAGAGATCAATCCCACTGAGTGCCGTCTGTCCCTTGCCCACCCCACCTCACAGGGCGATGCTGAGTTCAACCGTATCATGAGTGTAGTGGACCCCAACCACAGTGGCCTGGTCACCTTCCAAGCCTTCATCGATTTCATGTCGAGGGAGACCACCGACACGGACACGGCTGACCAGGTGATCGCCTCCTTCAAGGTCCTGGCCGGGGACAAGGTGAGTGAGACCCCTCAAAGCCACTGGGCAGCAGGGGGATCCCTGTCCAGGAATCACAGCCAGCACTTGGCACTGGACGGCTGGGTGGGCCAGCATAGGACGGTGGCTTAGTCCTACCCTGCCCCCAGAACTTCATCACGGCGGAGGAACTGCGGAGAGAGCTGCCACCTGACCAGGCTGAGTACTGCATTGCCCGCATGGCGCCCTACCAGGGCCCTGATGCTGCGCCCGGTGCCCTTGACTACAAGTCCTTCTCCACAGCTCTCTATGGCGAGAGCGACCTGTGAGGCCCCAGACACCCGGACCAAACTCCCTCGGCCTCCCGGCGGGGCTGAGGGACCCTGCCCCATCCCAACTCTGTATCTATGCAAAGCGCTCTATCGGTCTTTGGGGAGCGGTGGGCAGGGAGGAGCTGGCGGGCTCTCTCCTCTCTCATGGGTGGCCAGGGGGTCCCTCCTCACCTGGTAGGGGCAGGGAGACCTTGGGAGTCACACCTCTGGTCTGGCAAATATACATGTGTTTTTTAATCTTCATGGAGGGCTACAGGATCCCCACGTCCTCTCTGTGCTCTGGGGATGCCCCTCCGCCCCCACGTCTCTTCCTTTGCCTGAGGTCCCTTCAAGGCCTCCCACACCCAGGCCAAAGCCCCACGTGCCTTGTCCAGGAACTGCCCTGCCCTGCAAATGGTCCAGCAGAGGGTGCCACAGCTGCCCACTGGGTCAGACTCTGCCCACTCCCCCTCCCCTCACTGGTGATGGCAAGGTATGGAGGACCCTGCCGTCACCCCCACCCTCTTTCTGCCCCAGCCATGCTTTGTCTGGACTCTCAAATTTTTTTCTAAGGACCAAAACCAACAAAAGCACGAAAAATGGAACAAGAAAAAAACTTCACACACACACAAAAAAAAAAATCTATAAAAAAATTAAAACTTTCAGAGAATTCCTATTTACTTTATTAACTTACGGATTTATTATATAAATATATATTCACCTAGCAACATATCTGCCGCCTCTCTTGCTGTCATAATGAAGACATAGCTGACCTGCTGCCTCCCTGGCCCCTTACTGACTTTCCCCTTGTTTGCACCGGGTGGGGGTCTTGGGGCCTCCTGGGGTGGAGGTGGGCTGCTGGCCTGGCTGCCTGGAGTTGATGGTTTTGCCCCTCCCCTTCTGAGTTTATTCTGATTATTTTTTTTTTCTTGGTTTCTGGATAAACCACCCCCTGGGGACAGGATAATAAAACACGTAATATTTTTAAGAAGGATTCCTAGTCCTCTTTTTTCTCTGTGATGTTTTGGGTGCTGTGGGGCCCGTTAGGCCAGGCACCACTCCAAGCAGGGAGATGGGGACCGACCCTCATAGGCTACAAAAGAAAGGAAGGCACTGTTTCCACTGCGGTGCACAGATGAAGCCAGCAGAGCACAGAGGTGGCCCAGCCGCAGGCAGCGGGTCAGGCCCTGGTCCCAGACAGGTGCTCGTCCACGTCCAGCTGCCACCACCACAACAGGCAGGGACGCACAGCACTCCAAGCTCCCAGCCTCTCCTAGGAGAAGGTGGCTACCTCTGACCACTGGGCGAGAAGAAGGCAGAGGCAGGCCTGAGGCCACGTCCCAAATGGCCCTGGAGCCACCCTATCCCGCAGCCCAGGCTCACCTGTCTGTGGGTCAGGCAGACAACTCCCTCACCCCCATCCAGATGCTGACTGCAGTGGCCTGTGCAGAGAGGGACAGGATGAGTGTTGTCCTGGCTTCCAGCCTGGGGACACCCCCCCATGCCTCATGAAGATGGGTGACACTTACGGAAGATGCAAGTGAGTTGGGCCACGCAGGACACAAAGCGCTCAAAGTCCACACGCAACCGGCTGTCCCGGTAGCGGCTGGTGAGGGCCTGGGTCAGCTGGTTGTTCAGGTGGAAGCCTGAGGGGAGGCCGCCCATGAGCCCTGCCTCCACACACAGCCCTGGGGCTTTGCACCTCACGGGGCCCTCCTCCCTGGGGCCTGCATATGGCCTGGGCTCAGATCCCAAACTCCAGTGTCCCATGGCTCCTCCTGCTGGACAGTGACAGATGAGCTCTGCTATGGGGCTGGGGCACCAGGGTTCCCAGTGCTGACCAGACCCCTAATTTGTTTCAGAGCCCATGCTGAGCCTTGGTTAGGATTTTGTGCTTCCTTGTTAATGAAATGGTCGCCCACACTCCTGGCAGAGGAGTCACTGCCTTTCTGTTGGGCACTTTGTGGCTTTGGGTAATGAAGGTCACATTCCCACTACTCGGTGTCATTCCACGGGCACCTCACCACCCTGTGTGGTAGCCATGACACAAGCTCAAGGAGAGGGTGTACAGGGCCATCCCAGGAGGAAGTCAGTACAGCCAGGATTTAACCCAAGCTCGCCAGAATGCAGAATATTCTTCCAAACTGCTGCGTAAGCCAGAGCCCCTCAGACAGCAGCTCCCAATACCCCTTCCCAAGGGCCCCTCCCGCCCTCAACATCCTCTCAGTCCTTGTCACCCCATGCTGGAAGGATGCCCCCATTCTCTTGGCCTCTCAGTCCTGGCCAGGAAATGCAGCAAAGTGCTGGGGGTGGCCACCGCTGAGCAGGCAAATAGGACTAGGACAATGGAGAGGAGGGGAGTAGGCCCTATCCCCATCGCCCCAGGGTCCCAGCCCACACCTGCAGCATTCAGCGCTAGCCTCAGCTCGTAGGAGTTCATGGTCCCCGATGCATCCTCATCAAACTTGTCAAATGTGGCCTGGATAAGGAGGTGGCAGTTAACCTAATGCCCTAGCCCCCCTGCTGACTGGCAACCCTGAACCAGTGCTTGTCCACTCTGTACCCGTTTCCCTGTCTGAGATGGGAACAGCGAGCTCACAGGCTGGTGAGGACAAGTGGACATTGGACCCATCCACGAAGACTCAATAAGCAGGAGCTTATCACTGTTAGTAGTAGTGAGAGGCTGACCATTTTCCCCTTGTGGGGATTGGAGTGCCCCTCAGAGGGGGTGTCACCTAGCCAGAAAGGGGCTAAGCTGGGATCTGGAATTCCAACCCAGGACGAGAAACTGTGTGCACCACAACAGGGTGGACAGGACAGCACACTCCAAGTAGCCATGGGGTAGCCCAGTCCCCACCTTACCTGCCACATCAGGAGGTGGCCCCATAGCTCCTGGAAGTGGTACAGGGCCAGGCTTCTCCCATGCTGCAAATGGAGATATCTGATTAAGGTGAACACCCCTAGAAGGGGAGGAAAGACCCAACATCCCTCCTCATTCTTCCCCCAACACTGCCTGCACACACCCCAAAACACCGCAGCAACTGCTCACAGGTCCTCAGCCCAATCTCTCCCACAGTCCTGGTGTTGGCCCTGGCTGCAAAACAAAACAAAACACCCAGCACTCCCTGCATTCACAGGGGTTTTGTTGGCATAACTCCCTGGCACTGGCTAGAAACTGAGGCACAGAAAGCCTGTGATTCCGGATTCAAATCTGCCTTTCAGAAGAGGGAGAGCTGTGAGTGGCTGTAGTCCTGACTGGCCACGGGACACATGCAGGGAGAGGCTGCAGGCTGGGTCCAGGTTCCTATGGCCTGATCACCAGCAGCATCACAGGTTAACACGTGGGGTTAGGCCAACACCCTCTCCCCACAACTTACCAGGCTCCAGGGCAATGCTTAATAAGGTCTGGAGCTGGGATGCACCAAGTTCCTCCTCCTAGTCCAAAAGAGCCACCTGTAAGTCCATCTGATCACATAGCCAGTCAACAATCCACTGAGTGCCTGGCCCTGTCTGTGCTGGGCTGTGCTGGAGATGTGACAGTAACTGAGAGAGAGCCCCAAGCCTCTCCTCTCAGGGTTCAGTTGCGGAAGAGAGACAGGTCACCAGAGTGGTCAGGGCAGCAATGGGTGGGTGGAGTGCCCACAGCAGGCAGGTATGGGACAGCTTCCGATAAGGGCACTTTGGAGAGAGGAGACCAGAACCTAGCTGGGGAGTAAAGGTGAAGGGATCCAGGCAGGCCCTGAGGCTGAAAGGAGCGTGAGCATGTCTGGAAAAGCAGCTCATAGGATCTAAGCTCAGGGAGGAAGGGAGAAAGTAAAGCAAAAGAAGGGACACCAAGGGTGACAGAAGGATTTGAATGGCGGAACGGCCCCAACCACGGTCCTTCCTCACCTCCCCAGCCAGTTCCAGAAACAGCTGCACCAGCTCCAAATCCAGCGGCTGGTAGGGGACCTTAGGTGGGGAGATAGAGAAGTTTAGTCCCGGTCCAAAGCCCTCCCGGCCCTGTCCTGCCCCCTCCCCTGAGCAGCCCAGCACCGTGAGGGCCTCCAGATCTGCGCTGATCACGTCATCGATCTCCCTGCAAAATACAGACAGGACAAGGGAGGGGGCTGTTCACCCCACCGCGGGTCTGTGTGCCCAGCAGGGTCTCGGCGGAGAATCGGGTGGGGGTCTTGAGGCCCTGGACTCATCCAAGCGATGCTGAGCGTCCCAAGGAAACCCCCCAGAAAGGCTCTACGGCGGGGCTGGGGACTCGGGGAGGAACCTGGGGTCCCGGGGCGGGGCAGGAGGTTCCAGGGGTGGAACTTGGGGTCCCGGGGCAGGGATGGGGTCTCGGGGCGTGGCTGAAGTGTCTCGGGGTGAGTATGGAGTCCCAGAATGGGGCTAGGGTCCCGGGACAGGACTTGGACTTAGCTGGAGTGTATCAGGGCGGGTCCTGGGCGGGTGTCGGGGCGGGCCTGGGACTTCGGGGCGGAGCCTGGGTCCCGGGGCGGGGCTTGTGGTTCGGGGGCGGGGCTTGGACGTCTCGGGCTGAGGCTGGGGCTGGGGTCCCGGGCTCACACTGCGGTGTGGCTGCGCTCGGAGAAGATGCGCAGCGTGAAGTCAGCCTCGTCGCCTGCGCGGGCAGCACTGGGCACCACCAGGTAGTGACCGGGGCGCAGGCGACAACGGCGGCTCACGTCGCGGCGGGCGCAGAAGACGGAGCGGTCGGCGCGCAGCAGGCCCGGCAGGAGCTCGCGGCTGCGCGGCGAGTCCCAGAGGCCCAGCACCTGCGGGAAGGGGGTGGGGGGTTGTGACCTCCACCCACGAGCTCCGCATCCCCCAGACCCCGCACTCCGCCCGCCAGACTCCTCGGCTCCCAGACCCCGACTCGGGACCCCATCTGGGACCCACCTCTTCTGGAATCTGCAGGGAGGAAGAGAGAGGGGAGGGGGGTCAGGAGCAGGGAGAGATGCCACCGCTCAGGCTCCCCTCCCTGTCCCCCCGCACTTCTCAGACCGCCATCTCCCCTGTCCTACTGGACCTTTATTAAACCTCTGATCCAGGTCCACTCTGACCCCTTCCAACTCTCCCTTCCCCATTTGTGCCTTCGGACCCTTTCGGTCCCCTTGGTCCCCTCCTGTCCTCTGAGCCCCAGCCCTTTGGTGCACCCACGTGTGTCCCTCAGTCCAACCCTGACCCCCTCCTTCCCCTCCAGTTCTTTCAGCTCCCCCTCCGCTCTCTGATCCCCTCCAACCCGCTCCCCCCCACACCACCCCCGACCCCGGCTGCACCTGGAACACGTGGAAGCCCACGGTGAGGTAAGTGAGGCCCTTGGCCCTTAGGCACCGGCGGTTGCGCTGGATGAGCGACAAGAGGACCGTGCACTTGGGGACGCGGCCCCCCCTCGCTGGGCCCCGCGCCCCGGCTGTCCCCCAGCCTCCCCAGGGCCTCTCCTCGTCGTCGTCGTCGTCCTCCTCCTCGTCAGGCTCCAGCAGCGTCAGCCGAAACTGGGGATTGGTCCAGAAGGTGTCTAATGGAGGAGAGGAAAGTGGGGTCTCCAGCGTGCGGCGGCCCCCGACCCAATTTGCCTCGCAGGGGCCCCCAGGCCTCACCAGCACCGGGCTGGCTCCCGCCAGAGTTGAAGCCTCGCACCCAGCGTCCCTGGAAGGTGTGGATGTGCCAGCCGCCCCCCGCCGGGCTGGGGCCCAGCACCTCGGGGCTCAGCGAGCAGATCTGGACGGTGTTGAAGTGGCTGAGGAAGTCCTGCAGCTCCATCCTGCACAGGACACAGTCACCCCCAAGAGCCCAGGACCCCAGAAGTCGCCCCACCACAAAGCCCCAGTTCCTTAAAAACTGCCAGGTGCGCTCCCATCCCCAGAAACCACTGCCTCTGCCGGTGATGCAAAGGTTCCCAAGTCCTCAGGCACGTTGTGCAATTGCCAAAATTCACAGACTCCCCCAAATATCACCAAATTATTGCCTTCAGAAAACCTCCAAGGGAGCCAGCGCTGGTGGCTCACGCCTGTAATCCCACCTACTCAGGAGACAGAGATCAGGAGGACTGCAGTTCAAAGCCAGCCTGGGCAAATAGTTCATGAGACCCTATCTCGAAAAAAACCCATCACAAAAAAAAGGCTGGTGGAGTGGCTCAAGGTGAAGGCCCTGAGTTCAAGCCCTAGTACAAAAACAAAAAGAAAGAAAGAAAAGAAAAGAAAACCCCCAAGGGCTGGTAGAGAGCAGCTGCCTAGCAAGTGTGAGGCCAGGTCAAACCCCAGTACTACCAAAAAATTTAAAGAAATTCCCCAAATATCAGAACCCAGAGACTCCAATTATGAACAATCATCCCTCAGACTTCCAGTAGTGCCTAGTCTCAAGTGCCCCCAAAGTCACCAACTCCCTCGATGCCCTAAACATCACGCATCTGCCGTCCATACACACTTTTTTTGGCTTTGAACCCAGTGTAGGTGCTCTGTCTCTTGAGCCACACCCCCAGCACTTTTTGCTTTTATTTTTCAGATGGATGAGAGAACCAGCCTCTCGCCATGATCCTCCTACCTAAACTTCCTGAGTAGCTGGGATTACAGCCGTGAGCCACTGTACTAGGCCCTCCAAGATTATTGTACCTCTAAATTTCCTTAACATGGCTACTACTTCCTCCTTGTCTTCACAAAATAGAGACTGACCCCCACACTGCCACTGTCATGGACAGTTTCTCCCTGTTAGGACCCATTCCCCACAAACTTTGCCTATGTCCCTCTCACCCTGTCCCTGAGCTCCTGAGTCAGTGACCCCACCCCCACCCCCAGAGAACTCACCAGAACTCGCCGTCCTCCTTCTTCACCAGCAAGGCATCTCGCCATTCCGAGGGGAGTGCATCCCAGCGTGGGCAACTGGAGAGACAGGTATGAGGGGCCGGCAGGTGCCACCAAGCCTTCCACCTACCCTGGGCCCATCTCACCTGTCACTCCAGGGCCCAGTCCACTCTACTCGACCCCAGGGGTTCCGCAGCCTCAGCAACCTCAGCTTGGTGAACCCCAGGGACACCTGAGGACAACACTGTCAACGGAGGTGGCACCTGGACACCCCTGCCAGCCCACCCAAGGGGCGGCTCACCTTGTGTGTGCCCGTGACTGAATACGCGTGTCCTTTCACCAGCCCCTCTTCTGTGCGGTACTCACCCTGATTACTCTGGGCAAAGGACAAGATGGTAAGGTCAGAGTGGAGGACAGCAGGGAGGCTGCTCTCCCACCTCCCCCCACCCCCAACCTGTGGCCACCAAAGCAGCTGTCAGCCAAGCAGAGCACTGAATGGCACAGGGTTCAGAGAGGGGGTTGGGGCTGGGGAGTGAAAGAAAGAAAAGAGAGGGAATCCAAGATAGATCCAGGCACAGTGGCTCACGACTGTAATCCCAGCTAGTGGAGTGGCTAGAGGTGAAGGCCCTGAGTTCAAACCCCGGTTCCACCAAAAAAAAAAACAAAAAAACAAAAAAAAGCCCCATAAATTCCTACCTGAAAAATAACCTATAGCAAAAAGGGATGGGAGTATGGCTTAAGTCGTGTAGGATCTGCCTAGCAAACATGAGGCCCTGAGTTCAAACCCCGTACCATTCCCCCAATAAAAAAGAAAAAAAGAATACAGACAGGGCCCTTGAGACAAAAAGAGAAAGGGGCAGAGACACAAAAGACCACATAGAGGATCAGGTGGATGGATGAGTGAACAAGTTAAACCAATCGGTGAGTGAGTGAGTACATGACAGTCATAAGAGCTCATGACCCATGAGAGTCAATCCTGGGATTTTGCTAAAATTTTCAATTTTGTTTTTACTATTACTTTTTTAACCCTTGGGTGATGGGGCACATGTCGCTGTAGGAGCCCCTTTCACATCTATAAAAGGAAAGCCTGCCTCATGGTGAAACTAACCTAGAATCAGGCTAGAAAAACACTTGCAGCAGGCCCTGACACCTGGATCCAGCCATGCCTGAAATTGGCTTTGTTATGGGAGCAAATAAATTCCTTGCAGCTTATTAATCTCACTTGTGGGAAAGGATTACCCAACAGCAGAAGCTGAGAGAAGAAGGACACAGGAAATTCCACCCTCGCCACATCCCCGGCTGAGCTCTGGTCCTGGTGGGGTTCAGCTCTCACCAGGGCAGTGGCGCCCACAAGGGACTCCTTGACCAGCGCGTGGCGAAGGGCGGAGAAGAGGCCTGGTGTGTTCTGTCTCAGGTAGAGCACCTCGCCCACGCCGCCGGTGAAGTCCACAAAGGCCTCGTTCATGTGACCCCCTCGTATCGCCTCGTAGGAGCCGTGGAGCCTGTGGGGACCCCAGGAGTTGAGGTTTTCTACCCCCGGAAACTCCAGACTCAAGGTGGGGGCTGTGGCACATTTTGGGGAGTCCCGGCTCTGTGTGTGAACCTTTGTGTCTCTGAGAGATGTCTGCTGGGAAGGCGCTTCCTAAGGGGGCTCCCTGAGCCCCAGGAGGCTCCTGAGGTTTATGCCCAGTATTTTGGGGGTCCCCTGGATGTCTCAATGGACTAGGAAAGAGGGTCAAAGATTACAGGTCCCCTAGGAGAGAAATCTTAGATTTGGTGACGTCAGGGCCTGATAGATGGAATTTCAGGGTCCCTAGGAATTGTGGGTGATGGGCAGAGTTCCAGAAATGCTTTGAGTTCTTGGAGTTTCTTGGGGCACATTGTCATATTAGGGCTCTCAGGGTTGGGCATTAGTTTGGGATCCTTGGTGAGAGTCTGCAGGATTCTAGAAGTTGCGGGGCTCTGGTGGCTTGTGGCCTACTCCTGGGTCTTGAGTTTGTCACAGGAGGGGCTGCGGTCCTCACTTGGCGTAGGCCTTCTCCAGGAGCGGGGCCCAGAACTCGTTCCGCTGTTCCGAGTGCACGAACATTAGTTTCCCCTCACGCACGGGCAGCCGGTCGTCCACCACAACGTCCACCCAGCGGCCAAACTGCCAGAGCTGGTAAAAGAACTGACCAGACTCAGTTTCCCCCACCACCAGGCCTGGTCCCCAACTTCTGACCCCAACCCTGCATACCAGTCTCTGAACCCCAGAATTCCAGCCCCAAGGGAACAATGTCAACCATGAAATCCATGCCACCATGCCACCATGGGGGAAACTGAGGCATGAGGGAGGAACTAAGCTCTACCTGGAAGTGGAAGACACCTGCATAGCCATCTTGGAAACCCTGTCCAGGGGGGACCACCCGATACAGCAGACGGGGGTACAGAGTGAGGGAGGCCGCGGCTGCCAGGAACCAGCAGTTTCCTGGAGGAAAGACTCAGGTGAGCCAGGAGAGAACAGAGGAGACATAGAGAGGGGGAGAGGGAGGGCAGGTGAGGGGAGCAGTTGTCTGGAGCCCAGTGCTCAAGATGGGTCCTGGGGTCTCACCCAGGCTCCCCTGGCACACATCAGTACGTGTCATGTCTTCACAGATGAACTGGGGCTCATCACAAAACTCCTGGGGGGTGGAAGGAGGAGTTCCAGTAAGCCCAGAAAAAGGGAAGGAAGGAAAAACTGGGAGCTCAGACACCTCTGTCCCTCCTTCCACCTCCACACCAGGTAACAAAGGCCTCCAACCCACGAAAGGCCTGTGGAGACTGGAAGTAGAAAGTTAGCTTCCCTGGCTCTCCCTGAAGCCTAGATGTCTGAGCCGGCTGGCTGTGAGCCAGGACAAGGGCTTCCTTCTGCGGACTCAGAGATCCAGGCCCCAGCCTCCTCCCCCACACCCAGGGGTCCAGGCCCCAGCCTCCTCCCCCACACCCAGGGGTCCAGGCCCCACTGTCCTCCCTTAGACCCAGGGGTCCAGGCCCCAGCCTCCTCCCCCACACCCAGGGGTCCAGGCCCCAGCCTCCTCCCCCAGACCCAGGGGTCCAGGCCCCACTGTCCTCCCTTAGACTCAGGGTCCAGGCCCCAGCCTCCTCCCCCACACCCAGGGGTCCAGGCCCCAGCCTCCTCCCCCAGACCAGCCCCACTTTACATGGGGCCGCTTCCACTCCACGCCTTTGGCCTTTTCAGAGTCGGGCCCCAGTTTGTCATAGCCAAGGGCATCTGGACCGGCAGGGAAGCAGGGGTCACGGAACAGAGTCCCTGATTCCAGGCAGGCTGCTCGAATGGCCTGGTAGCTCTGGCCCCGGAAGGGCTGCGGGCCCCCAGTGCTGGCCCCGGCCGCATTGTCCACCAGCTGGATGGTGACCCGCCTGCTGCTCTCCATCAGACAGTCTGGGCTCCAGATGGGTCCAGGCCCTTTAACCTCCTGAGTCATGGGGCGGGGCCTCTCGCCATCTGAGCCCCGTTGGGGGTCTTTAGGCAACCAGCTGCCTTCCCTCGTTAATATTAATTGATGGTTTGGGGTGCCAGGGAGCAGGGACGCGTCTCCAGTGGTTTCCTCCCTGGGGCGTGGGGCCTTTAGTTGTGGCCAGGGTAGGAGCTTAATGGGCTTGATCAGCAGCAGAAGGGAAGGTGGACGGAGCTGAGGGAGGACTGCCCCTGTGGAGTGCCAAGAAAGAGGTCAGTGTGGGTGTGTTTGTGCCTTCTGGTCACTGTGGGGCTGGCCCAGGCAGGGATGGGGAGGGAGGTGTGGTTACTTCTCTATATCTCTCCCTCCATTTTTGCCTTGGCCTCACTGTCTCTCTCTCCTGTCTCCCTTTGTCTTCATCTCTGTCTCTGTGTCTCTGTTTCTTTCTGTCCCTGTCTGCTTTGTGTCTGACCCTCTCAATCTCTCTCTATCCTGTAATCCACGTGTGGCTGTTTGGTCACTCACCATGACACCCTAGCTCCCCTTGGGCTCACTCCTCTACCCCCTGTGAGAGTAGAACCCCTACCATGTCACCCAGCTGATGCTGGCCATGGAGGACCGGCTGTGTCCTGTGCTGGTACCCAAGGTCCAATCATTATGTCCAGTTCTGTCCACAGGCAGCTCAGGGTCCGTGGGGAGCGGTATTTCCCCAAAAAGACTCCTGAGCCATTGGAAAGAAATAGGTTTGGAAAGACCAGAAACTCGCCTTTTGGCACCTCCTGCCCTAGTAGAGTCTTGTCACCTTGATGGCACTCAAATGTCCCTTGAGCCTTCTAGAGCCATTCCCTCCAAATGAACCAGGCGATATCGTCCAAGCCCCAGACTTCATGGCCACCAGAAGGAGTTATAAAAGACATTTTCTTAGGCTGGGCATTGTGATGCATGTCTGTAATCCCAGCTACTCAGGAGAGTGGGGCAGGCGGATCACCAGGCAAAAACCTGAGACCCTAGCTGAAAAATAAACTGGAGCAAAAAGGGCTGGGGGACGTGGTTCATGTGGTAGAGTACCTGCCTAGCAAGCACAAGGTCTTGAGTTCAATCCCCATTACCAAAAAAAGAAAAACCCAAAAAAAGAAAACCCAAACCAGATTTTTTTCCTTTGGAATTGCCAAGGCCACTCCACCCCCACGCGAGTGGTGACAATACATGCTGGTGGTGTAGGGTAGCCTCTGATCAGAAGATTTCCAAATCTGGAGGCAGGGGGAGAGGCATTTTTAAAATTCCCGCTAACCTCTGGGAGTGGAAAGACCTGCGCAGTCTCTGATCGCCAATAACCAGCGAGTGGGGCGGGGTTTGGGCGGTCCCGGGGGTGGGGCGGGGTTTGGGCGGTCCCGGGGGGTGGGGCGAGGGTGATTGACAGCTACTCTGCGCATGGCAAGCCAGCTCCAGGCACTCCAGCCGTAAGGGTGGGTGTGCCCAATACCCACGGGTTTCTGCTGAGGGACAGCGGAGGGCGGAGTCACAAGGAGTCCCCTGTGCAACCGCAGGGGACAGCATCGGGCTGAGGTAAGGCGTTTAGGTGTGGTTTGTTCCATGGCCTGTTTTCTAGCCTGCTTCACTGGGATCAGGAGCCATAGCACGTGGGTTCAAATCCCAGCTCTGCCACTTAGAACTGTCTTTTGGCAAGTCACTTCATCTCTCTGTGCCTCAGTTTCTTCGTCTCTAAGACGGGGATATATAACCGACTGACGTTATGAGCTCGTCCTGGAGGGTCCATCCCTGGTCACGCGTCTCCTCTGGCTCTAAGCTGCTTTTTCTGTTATTTCTTCAGCCCCTCTGCCATCCCCCTATCTTTTTTTTTCTGAGACAGTCTCATTTGTAGTCTGAGCTGACCTCGAACACCTGATCCTCCTGCCTCCGCCTCCCCAGCACTGGGACGGCAGGCTCATCTCCCATCTATTCTCCATCTTCCCAATAGCCCTTTCCTCTCCATGGACCTCCATCTACCACTAGCAAGAGGACACCTTGCAGCGACCAGGAACCCCTTGTTCAGTGATTAGAGGGTCACATTCCCAGGTGTCCCGGGTCACTGAGCGGCCCTCCTGGCGGCCCGTGTTGCGGGGTTTCGTTGGCATCCCGTCCCTCAGCGAGCGCTGGCTATCACACCCCACCTTACACCTGGAAAGGCTTTCCTAGACCAAGGCCAGGGGGTGTCGCCTGTTCCCTCCCTCTCTCCCTTCCCCCTTCTTCCTGGGCTGGAGGGGACCCCCGGGCTTCGCACATGCTACCACTGAGCCACTTCCTAACTCGTATGTCGTTTTAAGAGCCCAGCACCCCAACCATGTCTAGAGATCCACGGGTCCCTTATTCTCCAGCCACGTGGCGGTGGTAGAGCTGGCTCCTCCCCCCAGTCAGAGGGCGGGGCATCCTAACCCAGACCTGCCAATCGGAACCCAGCATCCACTGGCCACACCCCCCCGGCCACACCCCCTGCAGGTCTGGTGGGATGAAAGCCTAGAGTGGCTGGCGTCTACCTTGGCCTGAGACCTTCCTGAGAATTAGGACGAGGCACAGGAACGCAGAGCCAAACCCTGGGGACAGAAATGAGATTCCCAGGAGGGAGAACCCCTAAATCCAGCTGTGCTTGCTTGATTGATTTTGAGACAGGGTCTCGCTCTGTTGCCCAGGGTGGCCTCGAACTCTCCATCCTCCTGCCTCAGCTTCCCGAGTGCTGGTAATACAGACACCGGTCACCATATTGAGTTTCCAGATATGCTCGAAACAAGACTTTTTATTTATTTATTTATTTTTACGGTATTGGGGTTTGAACTCAGGGCCTACACCTTGAACCACTCCACCAGCCCTTTTTAATGATGGGTTTTTTCGAGATAGAGGCTCATGAACGATTTGCCCTGGCTGGCTTCGAACTGTGATCCTCCTGATCTCTGCCTCCTCAGTAGCTAGGATTACAAGCATGAGCCACTGGCGCCCAGCTATTTTACCAGTTTTTATTTTACATTTTCCCTTACTGGCAAACAAAAGGAATCTCACAAATTCGGGAAGCATGACTTTTTTTTTTTTTTTTTTCTGATACTGTTTGTTTGGGGGGTTTTTGGTAGGACTGGGGTTTGAACTCAAGGCTTCACACTTGCAAAACAGGAACTCTACCACTTGAGCTACAACTCCAGTCCATTTTGCTCTGGTTATTTTCGAGATGGGGTCTCATGAACTGTTTGCTCCAGCTGGCCTCAACTGTGATCCTCTCAATCTCAATCTCCCAAGTAGCTGGGATTATAGGCATGATCTACTGGTGCCTAGTTCAGGGCCTCACGCTTGCTAGGCAGATGCTCTATCACTTGAGCCACTCTGCCAGTCTTTCTGCTTTGGCTATTTTTGAGATAGGGTCTCTTGTCCCTCCTCCATCCCTTGCCTGAACTTTTGTCCTCTGACTTATGATTGCACGTGGCTGGGGTGATAAGCACGTATTACCAGGCCCAGCTTTCTTTACTGCCTATTTTTTTTGCCTGGACTGGCTTCAAACAGTGATCCTCCCAATCTCTACCTCCAGAATATCTGGGATTACAGAAGGGCACCATTTCAGCGGCCTCAGCATGATTTCTGCAGAGATGTATCAACTGCAATGTAAGGACTACCTGTCCCCTGGGGTTGCAACACCTCTGTGCAGCCAGGACTTCACGTCTCCTAGGCCTGTTTCCACCTGTACCTTCTTGCATGACTGACAAATTGTATTGGGTTCCTCCTTCACCAGCTTAACAGTGCACTGAAAAAAAATCTATGTAAAACAGTATCACAGACTGCCACAGACCGGGAGAAGGTATTTATTTATTACACATATGTGACTAGCATGTGCTTGCTGTGAACAATGCACACAGCCCTATTGTGCATGAACCTGCTGTGTAAGAACTGGGGTGCTTGCTCAGCAAGTGTGAGGCCCTGAGTTCAACCCCCACTACTGCACACACAAAATAACTTCTGTACACAAATATGATCCCACTTAATCACCCCCAAGGACTGGTGGTTCTAGAACCACCATCCTCCAGATCTCTGCATCCCAAGTAGCTAGGATTACACATGTGAGCCATCGGTGCCTGGCTTTAAATTGACTCTTAAAGAGTCACTAGTCAGAATATGTAAAGAGCTCCTATAAATAAACAGTTGTCATCATAGAAAAATGGGCAAAAGATGTGAGTGGGCCACTACAGAATCCAACACAAATATGAAAACTGGAGCGGGGCACCAGTGGATCACATCTGTAATCCTAGCTACTTGGGAGGCTGAGATCAGGAGGATCGCGGTTCAAGGCCAACCCAAGCAAGTAGTTCTCCAAACCCCATATCCAAAGTAAGCAGAGCAAAATAACCTGAGCCTGTAGTTAGGTTACAGGTGTGAGCCACCAGCACTTGACCAATAATTCTTTAATATCATCAATGTACAGTGTCCACATTTCTGTCTCATAAATGTCATAAAATTATTAGTGGTTTATTTGTTTGAATCAAAACCCAAAGAAGAAGTTACTACCACTGACTGACGACTTTCTCTTTTTCCCCCCTGTGCTGGGAATGGAACCCAGGGCCTTGTACGTGCTAACCAATTGTTTAACCACTGAGCCACGCGACCAGCAAAGCAAATCACTTAAAGCTATTTTATGACACATGCCTGAAATCCCAGCACTCAGGAGGCTGAGGCAAGAGAATAGTGAGTTCGAGGCCAGCCTGGTCTACATAGTAAGACCTTGTCTCAAATTAAAAAAAAAAAAAGAACACATGTACAAGTTTCTTCCTTCAGGTTTTGGCTGGTGCCCCTGGTCATTATTCCGGATAGTTTCCCACTGTATGAACTGGCTGGTGTGTCCTTGGTGGCATTTAACTCCTACCTGTCTCCAGTAGTCCCTGGAAACTGGCCTTACATCTGGATGGATGCTTCCTTGGACACGGGCCCAAGTTTTTGGCAGGACGACTTCTTAGGAGGCCTTGGTCTATCAGGAGGAGGCAGGCACTGTCTGGCTGTCGCCGCCTTTGTGATGTCAACAGGAGGTGCTCCGTACTGTAGCAAACTGATGCAAGGTAAAGGTTGCAAAACTGGTGCGAGTCAGCCAGGCGTGGCAGTACACGCCTGTAATCCTAGCTACTTGGGAAGCTGAAGCAGGATTGCTGGGCAAAGGCTGTGGTGAGGCCCTATCTCAAAAATAAAATAAAGTGAATGAAAGGGCTGGGAGCTCAAGTGGTACAGCAATAGCCTGACATGCACGAGG